CCCCCCCCCCCCCCCCCGGGGTTCCAGGGGGCGTTTTCCCGCGGGCTTTTTTCAACCCTTGGGGCCCCCTTCCCCATCCCCCTTGGCGCGGGGGGGGGCCCAAAAATTTCCCCCCCCCCCCCCCCCCCCAGCAGCCCACGCCCCCTCGCCCCCTTCTCCCCGCCCCCTCTCCCTCGCCCCCGCCCCCCCTCCCCGACCCGCCTCTCCCCGCCCCGCCTCTCACCGCCCCCCTCTCCCCGCCCACAGCCGGCCCGGCAGCCGGCCAGGCAGTGTGGTCGGTGCACGGAACGCGCCGGCGCCGGCAAGCGAGGCCATCGAGATGACGGTGCGATTGCCCGAGGTTGCCCGAGATTTCCCGAGATTATTCGGCAAGCGAGGCCATCGACGGCGTGTGATTGGAGGGCAGAGCAGAGAAGGGGGGGGAGGGGGGCTAGCTCACGCCACGCTCTGCTCGACGCGTGCAGGCGGCCAGCGGCGGCTCCGACAGGTGGGAGCAGGGCGGGATCGTCGACTAGCGGCGCGCGCCCACCATCCCCGGGAGTGGTGCGTCGTACGTTACGCGGGGCGAGCCTGTAGACGCATTCATTCCCGCGTGTTGCGTGGCCGGCCCTGCTCCTCCCCCCTCCCCTCTAGATGCTGCATGCGCGCACGTCTGTGAGACGCTGTCTCGGTTTTGCGCTATACGTACGTTCGCGTACTTTTATGTTCGTGTGGTGCTGGTGCCGTCGCCGCTATTTCCCTTGGCGTGGCCCGGACTTGTCCTCGTTTCCCTGAGCGATGGGACAATGTTCTCTCGCGGTTTCTGCAGACCAAGGAGATAACGTTTTAGGCATCCGCCGCCCCACCGCCCGAGATGCTGTGGCGCCCGGGCGCGCGCCCGTTATTGCGCGTTGGCGAGCGTGACTCGCAACTCCACTCGCGTTTGCGGTCCACGGCCAAGCGGCTCCCCCCACCAAAGTTGAATCCTCTCCTTAGATACATACATAATTAAAGCGATAAAGGCCTAAATCGTATTTTTCACCGTGCACACACAAAACCATAATTGTTATAAAGCACAAACCCCTGCCAACTTGTGGCAGCTACTAGGCAGCCCCAGCCCCAGCCGCCAGCGGCAGCGCCAGTGGCAGTGCGCGCACATGAAGGGTGGGGGGTGGGGGGTTAGGGGGGTGCCTCAAGGGAACTACATGCCCGATCCGTTGTTGCCAGCGCAGTACAACCCGTGTCGACACCCTCCAACCTCGAGCTACATTACCTCCCCTTCCAGTGCGGATGTCCAAACTCCCTGCCGATGGTGCCAAAGGAGCCCCCGCGCGCCACGAGCACGGCTTCGCACGCTTGGGCATCGTCCTCGTCGACCTCGTCACAGTAGCTGGCATTAAGGCCACGCAACCCCGGCAGCCCCTGGACGAGGCTGATCACCCCGTCCCCGGTCACTGCAGTGAAGGACGCGTCGAGGGTGATCAGGCTCTTGCCATGCGCCCCCACAACGCGCAACGCACTGTCGTCACAGTCGTCGCATGAACTCACTTTGAGATGCATGAGTCGCTGGCATCGCTGCAGCAGCGCCCCAAGCGCTTCTGCTAGCGGTCCCTCGCACTCCCACGCCAGCTGCTCCAGAACCCCGCTGTTGTGGGCGGCGAGCGCAAACAACGGAGCTGCGGTCACTGCGTGGCGGGCAGTTTGCGTTGTAGACGCCGCGTCGAAGCCTTTAAAGGTGAGGATGCGAAGCGCCGGGCACCCGACAGCCACCGCCGTCAAGCCAACATCGGTGAAGCCCCATTGGTCGCCGCCGTATCCACGCTCATCGCCAATGCGGAGGGTGTGCAGCCTTTTGAGCTGGCCGATGGCGATGAGAGCCGAGTCGCGCAGCCCATCGAGGTCAGTGACGTCGAGAAACTCTAGCGCGGTGAGCTGCGAGACGAGAGTCGTGATCGTGCCGTCGCTCAGTTGGTAGTGGCCACCCAGGTCAAGCCCCGTCAAGTTGGTGCAGGCGCGCAGATGAAGGGCCCCCGCATCCGTTAGGTCCGACGGGCCCTCGCCCAATCCCAAGTGGCGCAGCCGGCACAGGTTCTCTGAGATTGTACGGGCAAAGTCGTCGGTCGGGTCGCAGCTGTCCAGCTGGAGAACGACTAGGCTTGAGCAACGGCGGGCCAGCAGCAGCATCCCCGCGGCCGAGATCGGCGTTGTGCAGTAGTACAGACCACTGTGTTGGGAGCGGAGATCCTTGCCCGTCTCGTCAATGGTCGACATGCGAGTGCCTGCCTCGATGTGGAGTTCCGTGAGCTTCTCGCACAGGCAGAGCGACTCAAAGGCAGCAAGGGAAACCTCCGCTAAAGGGCAGACCCACACCTCCCTCAACTCGCGGCAGGCAGAGAAGAGCGCAGCCAGCGAGGCCTGGTGGTCGGCAAAGCGATACCACTGCGCTTCACGCAGGTCGAGACGTCGCAAGCGCGGGCAGCCGCGCGCCACCGCCCTGCATTGAGCATCGAACGACAGCCGTTGACACCCCTCGCACTGCGGGCTTCCCTCGCACGGCTGGTGTGCCAGGACGGGCCCGAAGAGGTCTTCAGCAGTGAGCACCGTAGTCCGAGCGTGCTCTGCCTGCACTGTTGCGTGCCAGCCGCGGCAGACCAGTGAAATGCGGTGCAAGGCGTGCCAAGGAATCTCGAGCACCGCGATGACGATGTCAACGCGCAGGTCCATCGCGCAAGAGAGAGCAAAGCTCGCTTCCGAGCTCTCACGCCGCGCGTAGGGCTAGGGGCTAGGACGACGAATGGAATAAAAGAAAAAGTCTTACGCTCGACATCTCCGCGGGCCGCCGACCACGTGTGTGCGCATGAAGGCGGTCAGGTCGGCAGAGGGCGGCCAACAGGGCTGCGTGCTGGCCACCAACGGATGCTGCCTCCCCTACCAGAAGGCGCTGCGCACGCAAGACGCAGCGCAGGTACCCCAAGGCGGAGTTCGTCATCCAGGCTGACGACACGTCGATCAGGGCGGCCAGCGCTGACGCCGAGAATGTGCACAAGGCGCTCAAGGCGAACAGGAAGGCACTCTGCAACACGGTGTCCAACGTGAAGAAGGTGAAGTACTTTCGGCCTGGAGGCGGAGTGGAGGGCATCCCGGCGGAGCAGCTCGAGATGCAGGGCGGCGAGCTCGTCGGCCTCAAGCTAGTCGGCGTGTACCTGGCCCCGGACACGGAGGCCGGGCGGAAGTGGCAGCGCGACAACCTCTCGGCTGACTTTACGGCGCGCTTTTCGGTCCTCGAGAGGGTTGTCGGTTGACCAGCTTCGCGACGACGACAAGAACCACGATGTCCGGCAGCTGCGATACTCGATGATGCGCTGCCGCAGCTCAACGCCGCACTACTGGATGCGCACGATGTACCCGTGTGTGGTCCGGCCAGTGCTCGAGGAGGTGGTGGAGCCGGCGTTCAAGAAGTCGTTCGTGCAGCTGGCTGAGGCGAGCCACAGCCCGCAAGAGCTCATCGACCAGGCCTGGGAGGAGGCCCGGCAGGACGGGCGCTTCGGTGGCTGCGGCCTCGGCGGGCACGCACAAACGGCGGATGCGAGCTTCGCGGCTGCTGTCCTCTCGGTCTACCCGTCACTACGTGACACCTCGTCGCATTGCGGGGCATGCCCCTCTCCCCGGTGGCAGGGGATGAGACAGTGCCGATGCTGCAGCACTTTGCGCAGCATTACAATGACATCAGCCAACGGCGTGGCGATGTCGCGCGCGTCTACGCGGTGCGCGCACGAGACCAGGAGTTTGGCCTATGCCACACGTACGAGCTTGGCCGCTTCTGTCCGTCCATGCTGCCGTCGGCGCAGCGCATCCCGCCTATTGGCGACCTCTTCACGCAGCAGAGCACCTCTCCAGTCCCGAAACAGGGCACGCTCGCTGCTGTCGGGGCCCACGAAGCGTGGATCGCGTGCCTGGCGGCGTGCGAGGAGATTGACAAAAACACGCCGCAGTCGGAGCAGGCGATCAGTTCCAGGGAGGCGACTCGCTACATCTCGATCTCCCAGTTCGACGCTGCTGGATGGCTCGACATGCGCCCTGATGGGCTCTACCACACGAAGATGGTGTCGGCGATGTTCCTGACGGCGATACAGCGCAGGCACGGGCTCTACTTGTCGGTGATTGCGCCCACTCTCGCCGAGAAGGCTGCCACGGGCGAGCACGTCACGGTGGCAGATTACAAGGGCGACTCCCTCGCCAACTCCAACAAGGGCGACCGCACCTCCAAGCACAACAGGGTGCTAAGGGCCGCCCAGAATGCCATCCGGGCGCGCTCGGTTGGCAGCATCATCCTCGCTCCTCGGGGACAAGGAAAAGCCCGAGGTGACGCGGCACCTCAACGACACGTCCGTGAGTGACATCTGCGAGCTCGGCGGCGACTTCGCCACGATGCGGGACGTGCATTACGAGGTCAAGTGCTGGAACTCTCTCATCAAGTCGACGACGTCGGGGAGAGGCTCGTGGGAAAAGGGTGGCAATGTCCAATGTGGCATCGGTTGGCCACCTCTACGGGTTTGGAAACACGCTGGATAAGGCGTTGACGGCGGTCGTGGGGTGCAAGGAGCGTGGCCGGCAGGTGGACGGGCCGCTCGACCACTCGACTGGAAAGGGATGGGTCAAAGACCATGCGTATGGAGACGGATGGGTCGAGAAGAATGGGTCAAGGAAGTGGACGGGGGCGCAGTACTACGACGCGAAGTGGGTCAAGAAAGCCATAACGCGGCTGGTGCTCGTTGAGACTTTGGGTGGCATTGCACCGCCCACCAAGCAGTTCCTCCACGTGTTCGCCAAGGAGGCGGCGGGCAGCAAGACGGACCGGACGGAGTACGTACGGGGCGGCGTCGGCGAGCGCCTCCTCCTTCGTCGTCCACCACACGCAGCAGATCTCCATGGCGGCGGTGGCGGGCGACGCCGAGAACATCAACAAGCAGGCTCGCAATGGGCGTAAAGACTGGCTCAACTCCCCAGCGCGTGCCAATTGGGTCAAGAACAAGCAAGAGGCAAACGGCTTCTTACGCTCGGCCCCAGTGGGTGGTGCCCGCGCCGCCTAGCTCTGCGGACGGGCCCCCCCACCCTTCGTGTAATCATGTAGTCCCCACAATCGCTGACGTGGGATCGCTTGTCATGTGAGAGAGTGCGTTGTACTACCGACTTTTCTTTTTCTTACCAGGGCAAGGCGCCCCTTCCTCTTCTGCCCAACCTCTTCTGCCCAACCCTTCCCCATGAACAGGGCCTCCGCCGAGGCCCTAGAAGGGCACGAGTTTTCCAATCCATCAGCGAGCCACATCCCCGCACCACCGCAGGGCGCGTTGGGTTCGGACCAGGCTGGCAGCTCGGCTACGTCCTATGAGGGCGAGTACAACCGGCTGCAGGAGGAGGCGCTGGCGGCGCTGGCAGCGGTGCAGCCTACGGTCGGGGAGGTCGCCCAAACGATCGGCATTTCGGGCGGGCGGGTGACCAACTACCAGGAGAGGTTTGGCATCGAGAACAAGGAGGTGGCCGCCCTCGCGAAACGGATGGGCATGTTCATGAGGGGAGAGCTCGACGTGAAGGATGTCGGGCTGATGGTCTGCTGCATCGGCCCCACCGTGGACAACAAGCTGGAGGCGAACATCAACAACCGCGCCGTGTACGGGCTCGGCGCGTGCGTCTGCTGTGTGGGAGGAGAGCGCACCCTCGAGGAGGAGATTGCGGCGCGCAAGCTGGTGGCGGAGAAGACGCGAACGAAGGCGCGGCATCCCCCCCCCCCCGCCCGCCCGCCCGCCTCCAACCCCGCACACACCCGCCGCCGCAGCTCGCCGAGAAGGAGCAGCGCGCCGCGCAGCTAAGGGCCAAAATTGCAGCGCGCGTGAAGCGCGAGCAAGAGGGCGCGAAGAAGCGCTCCTTCGTCCTCAGCAAAGGGGCGATGTAGCTTTTAGGACTGACGCGCTTGCCATCGCGCCGTCTCATGGTGTGTGTGTGATTCCCAAGCAGTAGCGGGGAACGCGCGGACTGGCCGTTGTAGTGTGCTGTATATGTCTCTGCGCGGGTCTCGCGCTTGCTTTATTAGTCACACAGAGTCCCCGGCTCACGGTCGGCTGATGATGTTGTATATGTGATGATGATTGATGTATGAGATCATGCATCATGGATCACGCGATGCCACACGGCGCCGCGCTTTTTGCGGCGCGGCGCGCGCGGCACCACACGCGAACCGCAACCGGGAAAACCGGCGAACCATGCCACAAGCCGACAAGGCACAAGCAGCACCGCCAGAGCTGGCAAAGGAGAAACATCTGCGGTGCCCGCGTGAGTGTCCAGAAGGGCGAATAGCCTCGCACCCCACCGCGGCGCGCGGCGCGGCGGACGGGCAGCGCCTGGCCCGACACACACCCTCTCTGACAGGCGCGCCCACCGTCTACCACAGTCACACCGACCCACGACCACACACAACGCCCCCCCTCCCCCGCTCCCCCCTCCCTCCCCCACACCTCCAGGCGTGCTCTACCGCCTGCCGAATCTACCCGCCCGCTGTCGGCGCGGCCCCTCTACGCAGCCGTCGGCGGCGCCTCGAGCGGCGGCACCGCCGCCTTGCCGCCCCCTTTGCTGCCCTTGCCGCCGCCCTTGCTGCCCTTGCTGCTGAGCCTCTCCTTGCTTTCCCTCCCGCTGCCGTCGCCGCCCATCCCGCCCTTGCCGCCGCCTACGAACCAAACGCCGCCGGGTCTCGCAGCCCACACCGCCAGCCACACCGCACTCCGGGGCCGGCAGCCCCACCGCCGACATAGCCGCCGCCGCCGACGCCGACGCCTCCGTGCTGCGGCGAAGCGGGGCCGGGCGGGCGGGACGCGTGCTCCTTGCGGGGCTTGTGTGGGTGGTGATGCCCGCCGCCGCCGCCGCCCGCCGCGCCCGCCGCGCCCGCGCCTCCGCCGCTGCCCAAATAGAGTACGAGCAACGTGAGGAGGAGGCAGGCGCCGATGGCGTACAGCCGGACTGGCGGCTGCTTCTTGCGCGTGCCGCCCAGCAGCGACTCCTCATCGAAGGAGCCGCGCGTGCCGCCCCCCGCCTGACCACCGACCATCTCATTGGTTGGTCCCTCAATGAACTACGTCCAAGGAGCCGCGGGTGCCCCGCCGCCCCCCCCCCCTCCCCCCTCCCCCCCCCCCTCCCGCCTGGAGACCGAGCGAGGCCGCGCCGTCGAGATTGGACACGATCAGCCGCGCGTGCACCGGCTTGAGGCCGACACCAACCAGCTCGTTGAGAGTAGCGCGGCTCAGCGCGTCGACCGACGAGTAGCCTGCGCCGTCGAGGGATCCCTGGCACGCCTCGAGCCCGACGGAGCGGAGGAAGGCCGCGACCTCGCCCCCGGCCGGGTCGGAGCTCACCTGCCGAGGCACACCGCCGAGGCTTGCCGACCGAGGTGGGGAGTGTGCACAAGGCGCAAGTGCGAGGTGGCCGCGTCGTTGGGGTGCGTGTTGCTGCGGTGCGGGAGACGTGTGTGTTGGGCAGGGGCGGCGCTGCGAGAGCGCGGGCGGCCGCGGACGGAGGCGATGCGGACGGAGGCTCACCGAGAGGGGCGCCGTCGACAGCCCCGCGTTGGAGAGCTCGCTGAGCATCAGCTTGGCGTGGCCGGGCCGGACGCCAGAGTCGACCAGCTAAGGCGCGGCGGCGAGAGGGGTCGGTGAACGGAGAGGCGGTGCCGTCGGCCGCACGTGCGGGCCAAGGGCCCGTGCAGTGGCCAGAAACGTGCGACACGTGTGCGTAGCGCGTGGGACAGGAACTGGCTGTGTGTGGGACGGCGCCTCCTCGTACGTCGCGCCGCGCAGCGCCTCCATTGAGGTGTAGAAGCCGTTGTGCACCACGGCCTGCACGCACTGCTCGAGCCCGAGCTTGGTGAGAAATGCCGTCACCTCTCCCACGCCATCCATTTGCTCTGTTCCTCGACCTTCTCTGTCAGCAACAAGCGCCGGCGCTGAAAGATGGGCTCGCACAAAAGAATTCTTGCGATCGGCGCCTGGAGCGAACCGCGGTCCGGTCGCGCCACCGCGGCTGCGGGGTTGATAGAGCAGGCCGGCTGCGGCTCCTGATGTACCTCCGCTTTTGGGTGGCGGTCGCGCGCTGCCGACGGCGCTCGCCGGCGCTTGCGGCGCTACGGCGCTCGCGGCGCGCTCGTGGCGTTCAGGGCGGCTCGCACACGCACACACACACACACACCTGAGACACACACACACACACACACACACACACACACACACACACACACACACACACACACACACACACACACACACACACATGCATGCATGCATGCATGCATGCACAGACAAACAGCCCCTTCCGCTGCCCCTCAAGACCTTCCCAAGGGGCGAGGACACGCGCAGGCCGCACCTCTAGTGAGGCCCGCATAGTATGTGGGAGACTCATGCCGCCGCCCCTGCCACCCCTGTGTCAGTGTGCCCGTGGTAGTGAGAGACTGCCGGTGAGAAGCCGGAGGAAGGTCGCTAGACTGAGATGAGACCGCCAGTGGAGTTGGGAGTCCACCGTGCACCGCGCTGCGAGCCTGTCGTGTCCCTTCACCCTTGTCAGGAGCAGGAGAGCCCACCTGTCCCCCTGATCGTCCTTCCAAAATCCTGCTCGTGCAGGTGTGGACCCTGTCCTCCTCCCCTATCCCTCGTTTGGTCTGTTTTCTTTCTTTCTTTCTTTCTGGTGGCCGGCGTGCCGTCCTCCCATCCGTCCCTCGCTGTCCGTTTTCTTTCTTTTGAGGGCCAGCAGTTAAAATCGGTACGAGACTGAAAGATAAAAGGTACGGAGGCGGAGAGTTTTTCCGAAAGGGCCGTTCCTTGCTTTTACCGCGTACGCGCGTCCACAAGCCACAACTTCGTCTGGTGCAGCGTTGAGCGTGGTGCAGCCTTCCATCGCGATCTGCTGCACGAGGAATGGCGTCCGCGCCCCAACCGTATTCGTATGCCGTGCTCGTCGTGCTGAGCCTGCTATCTGGCGTCTTCAGCGGCCTCAACCTCGGGCTCATGTCCCTGCGCGGACGGGCTAAAAGGTGGGCCATTTTTTTCTGAGAGCGCCTTCGTTGTTAATAGTACAAACCCAATGGTCTCTTGCGAGCGGTCCGTCGTTGCAGTCGCACACACTCACACGCCACGCCTCACCGCGCGCCCACCCGCTGCCCCGCCCAGGCGGGAAAGAGATGAGGACATGGGACAGCGAAGGAGGAGCCCAAACACGTATGGGAGGTTTCGTTGATGCGTCACGCTGCCCGGCGTTTCTCACTTTCCGGGACAGCCCCGCCCTTGTGAGGCAGGAAAGTGACGGCTACCCCGTACGCCCTGTCGCATCATACTCCATCGCCGACCGCCCATTCCCCCCTCCTCGTTCCCCCCTCGAATGCTCCGGACCCCGACAAGCCGCCCGACGCTGGGCCTCTGCCCCGCACGCTCCCGCCCCTCTGCCCCTCACACACACCCAGGCCCGACATGCACATACAAGACAAACCCGGCTCCTGCTCTCAAAAGAAAAGAAAAAAATTTTCCCTTCTGGCAGCGCCATCGCTCCTTTCGCCCGCTCCGCCGCCTGGAGATCGGCCGTCGTCCATCGCCTCCGCCAGGACGGCGTCGCTGCGAACGCGTCGCAGTTTGGCGACCGCGCCTTCTGGGAGTCACGCTACACCGCAGGCCGAGCGCCGCGGGAGTGGTTCCTCTCTGCTGGCGCCGCCGCCGACAGCGCGGCCGCTGCACTTTTATCACACCGCCGGAGCGGCTTGTCGGCCGCAGATTCGCCGCTGCGCTGCCTTCACCTCGGCTGCGGCACCTCCGACCTCGGTGCGGCGATTTGCGACGCGCTGGAGTCCGAGCACCGCCTCGCTGCGACCGTGACCAATGTGGACTACTCTCCCGCAGCCATCGATGTGGTGGCGCGGAGGGCGGACCCGCGCCAGAGCTACCACGTGTGGGACGTGACCGACGGCTCGCAGCCGCCCGCGCCTCCTCACGGCTCCGGTGCCATCTTGACGGCGTGTGGCCCGTCCACAACACGTCCATGACACGTCCATGACACCGTTGATGACACGCTCCCCGCACAGCGTACGACCTGCTGCTTGACAAGGGCACCCTCGACGCGGTGCTCTTCTGCGGCGAGGCGCCGCTCCTCGGCTACCTTGCGGCGCTACGCCGCCTTCTCGCCGGCGATGGCGGCGGTGGCGGCGGTGGCGGCGGTGGCGGCGGCGGTGGTAGCGGCGGCAGCGAGGGAGGCGGCCTCTCTCCTCCGCCGCTGCTGGTACACTTTAGCGACGAGCCTCCGGAGCTGCGCGGCGGCCTGCTGCGCGCCGCCTTTGGCGCGGAGGAGTGGGAGGTTTCTCAGATGCTGGTGGACGGGGAGGAGGGCTGGGAGGGCTGGGACTACTTTCGGTACACGGTGGCGCGTGCGCGCGCGACGTATAGCTAGGTGAGCGGGGGCAAGTACAACATCGTACTCTGCAGTGGATGAAGCTCTCTAAGAAGGCCATACTGATAGCCGCGAGAGAGAGCAGAGTACGCGGTTCTTTCACAATCACATATGCCCGGGGCCTCATTGCTCATATATTCGGCACCTCGAGCTTCGTCATGCAGAGAGTGGTTCTGCAGCTCGGAATTCTCGGTGCCTCACGTTTTGGTTGTCGCCGTGTAATTGGTAATCTGGTACTTGAAACATGTATAACACATGCACACATGACACACATGCATGCACTTGCATACGCGCCCAGCACATGCAATTGCATCTCTCGGCGCGGTCCTATCTCGAGTATCCGTATCCAATGCCAGTCTGCCCCACGTGCGCGACATGCACAGCATCGCGGCTGAGGTGCGTGCGGCTTAAAAAGTGCGTACGTACACGCACGCGCACCGAGAGGGAGGGGCTGCTGTTCTAAAGGCTTTACGGTAAAGCACTTGGACTGGTGTGGAGCACTTGGAGTGCGCAGTTGGTAACCTCTCACACCCAGGGCCGGGGAGCTACAAGAAGCGCACCCAGCGGGCCGGATGCTCGGGGGCGGGCTACGGGCAAGAGAGCCCTGACCCCTAGGGGGGTGCGCGTTCGCAAGGAAGGGGCCATAGAGCTCTAAAGTAAACACGGGTCTCCGAGGGTTGGCTCCGTCCGTGTACCGGGTTTCCCCTTAACTGCAGAACTAAAAGGATGGGAGAATTTACGGATTTTGAGGGGGAGGGGGGCGGGGGAGGTGTTCACGCCGATTTAAGAATCAAGTCACCGCCGCTAGAATGGGAATGGGTCTTTGCACTGGGTCTCCAGATAAGCGGCGCGGTGCTCAGGCTCGGCTAGAGTAAAGGCTAAAGCCGTAAGGCCGTACCACCTTCGTAAGGCGTTCTCGCACGTTCGACTAGTGGTGCGCCCGATCCCCCCACAATTTGCGCATGCGGTCCAATCACAACAAGCGAGAGGCTTAATGGTTAAACTGCCTCTGCGGCACGGCCTGCTGGTGCTGCACTCCAGCACCACACAAACCACATGCATCGGCCATCGCGAGCTCTGGACCAGTGCTATGAGTCTGGACGGACTGAGGAGTCCGGAGAGGTGGAGGAAGGTAGAGAGAACCACACCACTGGAAAAAGACACGCCGGGAAGCTTACATCCTTTGAACGCCCCCAAAAGCCAAATCCGCGCCGCGGCGTACGTGCGCCGCAACGAGGGGGCGGGGGGGCAAGGGTTTGCCTAGACATGTAA